CATTTTGCGTATAATGTTAATCCAGAGATATGTACGCGGTCGGAATAAGCGCAGCAAATTGCTAGTGATCTCAACCATCTCGACCAGTGTTGCCACATATCCGGTACTTGACCAACTAACAGCCGAAAGCCTTCCGTTCCGCACACGACATTTCAATTTGGACTACGTCTTCAAGTGCGCCAGCGCTTTTTGTCAACTCTGCGCTTAATTTGCTTCGCCCTAAAAAGCGAATCGCATTTCTCCTACTTTCCTACGAAAAACAAAACGGATTAACTGTTCGTACATTCCAGTAGCCGCTACACACGCAACAATAAGTATATTAGTGGTTCTGCTATTGATTCTGTATCAACACGCAGGGGGCAATAAATTCATGATAGCCCTGCGATATCGAGTGTTTGCGCTGTAAAGCGATTGGATATTCGCATTAATGAGTTCAATTTCAGCGAACTCTATATAGACTGGTTAATAGCCCATAAAGATTTTAGTAAAACGCCAGATCTTTTACGATACCCTGAGTGCTGGTAAAGAGCGCTTGCGACTTGAGTTTCTATTTCGAGTCGCTGGAGCGGCGCCGGCGGACTCGATTTGTGATTAACACTTTTTGCTTAGACTTTTGCTGCTTTTTTAGCTAACTGAGCTGAACTCTCCTTCCGTTATTTAACGCACGTTGGATTTTAAATGAGTGTGACGCTGTAATCTCTAAACGCGGATACCCAAAGCCGACACAGGATGGTATAATTTTACTTATAACTTAGTTCCAGTTAGTATTGGTTTCTTCTCGTGTGTATACTCGTACATTCGGGCCATCGTCAACTCATGTTTGCTTATACGTCCACTAAAGTGTTACAACGATGGCTATTTGTTTGGCACGTCCAAATATTGCAGCGTCTAATTGATGTATGCTGGCAACGGTGTCACCTGAGGTATTGTCCGTCGGAAATTAATTTCGTATTTGGTTTACCGTTGATCAATTCAATTGGGTTGGTAAATTATTCAGAGGATATTAAGCCCGATGGCGGTCGAAGGTCCGTATTTGGTGATGCGGGGTTATGCGGGTGAATGCGTCATCGGTAGTCAATACTTGCTTGCACCGATCCATATCTAGATACAGGCTATTGAAAGATTGTTTTATAAAGTACCTATCATTACATACCTACTTACACCTACATTAAACACGATTTGATTTCGAAAGCCAAATCAATGATAACTTTAATGTGTATCAAGAATTCAAGGCTCAGTTTTCATGCTTATATTTAACGCGTAAAGAATATAGAAACACCTGAGTATAACATACTTTATAAGTACGTACATATTTTTGATTGGTATAATGCCCTATTTGTCTGCAGTGGATTCTAAAACTTATAAAACCATGTAATTTTAAAACTAACATGTAAACGGCCCCCACACGTCCAATCATCTGATAATGTTTCACGGGCAATTTTCTAATTAATCACGACCTGTTCGCTGAACACCACGTCCAATCGCGTATCACCGTGAGAACAGAATATCCAACATTGTAGAATAGCTCATACTTCAAATTGATGATTCTCCAATGAAGCTCGACACCTGTCGTAAGCAGAATCGCTGATTGAGAGGCAGGGGTCACTCAGGGCACATACTGTCCATCAAGCAATGTTAGCATTTCTCGGCATTAAATTAGAAACTTATGGTTATTATTTTTGATGATTAATAAGTTGCTAAATGTTAATGAATTGAAATTATCTCAAATATCAATCATTCAACCAGATATAGCGGCGCCCTAACCGCAAATGGATGTAAACAGACAACCGACACTAACCAATGTTCTAAGTCTATGATTCTAGAATAACCAGTTCCACAACTCCACAAGGTACTATAGGTACGCTATACAGGTGTTCTACCGCTACACGTTGGGTCCCTGCATTTGCAACGAAACGGGTGTATTGTCTAGAAACCAAACTATCACCGGATATGATGTTCGTTTCAATAAACACGCTTAGCGACGCATGCGCTGCTGCTTCATCAATTATACTTGCAATGACTATATCCTGCGCAATGGGTTATTGTTAGACCCTAAAGTGATAATAGGATGTTTTTGGATTCGTTACTTTTTCTCATTTCAGAGAGGATGTTGTTACTCCTTTTTTATTAGTCACTTTTTGCTATGGTCCTTGTGATTGATCGCATAGTATATTACATGACATGGTGATTAAACAAATTCGTGATTGTCCTATCTTATGTAGAGGCACATCTTCCACGTTGTAAATACTAGTTAATTTTTGATAAAGGAAACGGGCTTGTAGTTGTTTTGTGTCACTGATACGACCCACATGTCCTGCACCATCACAACATGGTGACGTCACCGGCCTTGACTCAGGGCCCGACCACATTTGATGATCTCTTTTCAATATTTACAAGTAACATATGTTTTACTCCGATAAAACCCTGCATTCATCAGCTTCATCAGTTTTAAACACATTTGACACAAATCTCAAATGTTAATGTAAATTGGTACGCGAGTTTTCATGTTTTACGTAGAAAATATCTGCTCATGTTTTTGATCTTTTTTGCTTTTAATTAATTCGCGCTAGTTAAATTTACGCGGTTCGAATAAGCTATTTCTATTTCCTCAAAAAATACTAAAATCTATTTGACCTTTTACTTTACAATGTAACTGGAATGTAACTTTACCTTTCAAACGGCGTCTTTGTTTGAATAAGCGAAATTGCATACACGAATTATGCATTATTGCAAATTCACACTGCACTTTTAGATTACGTGATTACGTGTAAAATACTATCCAGATCACTCTCAAACCAAAACCCACCTGAAAGGAATTTCACTGAAAGTATTTTCGCACTGTTCACAAGCACTTGTTCACTGGTCTCCGCTGGGTCCCATTGCGCGGGCGCACGGCCTGGCTGCGTCGTCGTAGTGAGGCGGCGCGCTGGCGTGGGAGGCGCGGATCCTGCGCTGACCAACTCAATTACCGACCATACTCATTTAACGATAGAAGGTCGGGTACGGGTCATATTGTCCTATTCAAATTCACTCTTATTGTGTAAAATTATAATAGAATCAATTGAACCTTTTTCTTAATCCGTTGTTAAAAGCTGCGACAGACAGCCATATTGTTATTTTTTGCGAAGTCTCAAGTTTTTTCTGTGGGCGGAGCGGTTACCTGATAATTTGTAGGCGGTGCTTTTAATATTACGTCACAAGGAATTACTCACCTTGCACGGACGACAGCACATCAAGGTAAATACGGCGGAGTCTTATCTCGTTGTAATACAGGCTATTTTGCAACAAAAATATAATAGTCTGATATGCTGTCGATTGTAATTTGGCCAGTCTGTAAACAATCGCAGCACTTGTCTTAAGGCACAGGGGTTGATCGGACTGAGGAATGTGAAAACCATTAAAGCTAATGAGTCAGAGTCAGACCGAACTGCTTGAGTGATGTTCTCTGAAAGTAATGCAATGAATGCAGTAACGATGATATCGATATAAGTAGAAAGCAGACCACCTGGTTTTATTTAAATGTTTGCAGTGCATATTTGCTAACACGATGCACTGTAACATTTTATACTTTCAAAGCGTGAAAATACAGATTAAGTATAATCAATACCAATATTTATATCGTCAGTTGCAGGTTCACTTGGGGTAACTGACAAAATACAGTTTTTCAGTAGAGCCGTTTAAAGTTTTTTTTCGTCTTAAATCGGACATAACTTTTTTCCTATTTAACCTTTTTTGGATCTGTTTTTACATAAATGCTTAGAATTCTACGCGGTTTTAGATTAAATAAAAAGAATTATCTAATATGTCTTAGTTAAGGAAATAAATTGCAGTTACACCAATGTATTTTTGTACTTTTGACAGTTACACCAATTTTAAACCATACTTTTGGAAAAAACATAGGTCAAATTGGTGTAAGTACTGCCCAAATTAAAATAATTTGATGTATTTGCTGGGTTTTGTTTACTTAGTTGCTGTATAATTTATGTAAAAGTATTAAAATATAAGAGAATTCACGAAAAACATAACATTTTGTCGTTTTCTTTATTTTTTTAAAAATTTTATTAAAAGTAACTTTTATTTTGTTAATCAAAAAATGTTAAAAAAGCCATGAAAATCAAGAAAATATGTGTATTTAATTTTTTTAAGACAGAAATATTGAAACAACTAAAGTATTACTGTGAAACTAAATAATTTCAATATTTTTTTAAGCTTTGACTTACCAATACCGTATTTAGCTCTACGGGGCAACTTAAACTGAAAACAAAATGGATTTAATTTCCCACCTATTTATAGCAATGTTGAATTAAGTTCATGAGTACTACAACAGTAAAAGTAACAGAGTAACAACAGGTTAATGTTAGCAACACGCAGTGACGCCTGGTTGGCTGGATAGTTGCTCAATTTCAATTTTTTTTTTGTTGAGCTAACTTTAACTTCTTTAACTGATACTGCTGGTATAATAATAATGTAATTTATGCCTTAAAATTTTCTAAATTCCTATTTTATTTTATGTTACAAACCTTAGCAAATCAGTGTAATTGCAAAGTTTTGTAGCAAAATTTTTACATTATTACAGATACACCAATTCAACCTGGTAAAATTATAACAATGTCAGTTACACCAAAATTGTAAAGGAAATCTGAAAAGTTCACACCTGAAAATGTCCGTGTAATTGTAATTTTTTTAAAGCTAGAATTTTTTTACGTATACCATTCGAAAGAGCAGAAAAAACCAAGAAAAACTGTATATTTAACTCAAAAACCGTATTTTGTCAGTTACCCCAAGTGAACCTGCAACTGACGATATGTGTATGAACCTTTTATATTGGTCTAGGTGTTTTCCATTTTTAATAAGGATGTATTAAAAGTATTTAATTATGTAAACTAGTCTGCTGGGACTAGGCGCCGTTAAATAACTTCTCTAAGGACTTAATATGTATAAGAAAGTCCAAGAAATAAAAAGCAGTTACGTTCTACAATCCAATGTCCACGTTATTCCAGGTCAACAACGTGGATGAGGTTCTGGAGAGGCACAACGACTTCCTCGAGTCCTGCCTCGGAGACTGCATGCTGACCAGTCCTCAGCTTCTAAAGGCAGTCACTACGCTATGCCTGGTCTGCGTCCAGTTCTGCACCTTCATACAGGTAAACAAGACTCAAAATCGTTCAACACTATAATATCTGCACGTTGATGTTTAGGTCCCATTTGTAATTTATTGTAATCAATGATCAAGTACCAATTACCTCCTATTTAGTAAAAAGGAAACAAGAATTCAGTTAAAATACAGAAACACGGGTCTTAACGCGACGTTTTTGTATGAGTTACATATTTCATGTACTCACTCACGGCTTGACGTTTCGGCTGCAATGGAAAAAGGAATATAATTCATGTTAAAATTCAACTTTTTACAACATGATGTGTTGTAGAGGAGGTATAGGTACCGTCTATATGCGTTTAATCCACTGTCATGAATGATCCCAATATCTAATTCTCAAATGAATTCTATCCGCTCGACTTACATATTGGACAGTCTCCCCTACAATTTTAAAATGTATGGCCTCAGTATAAAGTTCAAAATCAAGTGAGGATTTTTAAAATTTGTGTGATCTCAATTCGATTTGATAGCAATATCAGTGCAATCTGTCACAAACAGTGCAACAAACAAAATGGCATATTTTCAGTCCTAAAATGTTTACTGCGTGTATTTTATAACATTAGGTACCTATTTTTTATGCAATATGACATGTACCTAGTTGCTGGCATTTGATGAATCGTGAATTAAACGCAACAATCTATCTATGAAAATGTGTATTTTTGTATTTATTGATGTATCATATAATAACTCACATGAATTATCGTATTTATTTACTTTTAGGGATTAAACTCGGTAATAATAACAGTTACAAAATTTTTATTTAATACATATAATTAGTGTCAATATTGTACCCAGTTTTAATGACTATGCATTGTAAATAATGTTGTTGTACCATATTTTTATCTTATGAAAATCCACACTGTTGTGTTGTTATTGTAAAAGCCTAGCACATCGGCACAAGCTTTATTTTATAAAGCGCTGGTATTACGTATACTGCTTTTTACTTGATTAATACTGTTATTTACCGAGGTTACACCATGTAGTTTTTATGATTCAAACATTAGTTGGGGAAATAACTGTGTATAAGATATGATACGTTATGAAATTATGTATTTAATTTATCGAAAGCGAGAGAACTCACGGAGCGTAATTTTCCCGCGTCTACCATAACTACGAGTTGTAAACAACTTTTAAAAAAGTGGGCAATTAATACTTAATGTAATTCAAGCTTGCAATGTCCATACAAATTACTGTTTCGGGAATCGAACCTTAAGCTTTGTCCTTTTTACCATGATTTTTTCTTTTTTCCACTGCCTTGATAGATACGGGAAAATTCATCTGCGAGAGTTCTAACTTATCTTATTTACTAAGGCTGACGACTATCTATCGTATTTATGCCTAACCGATACCTTTTTAGTACGCTTTTGCGTTTAGTATTATATGATTTCTAACAATAATTTATTTTTGTATTTTCTTTTAACGCTACCAAAACACGTTAATTGGCAAAAGGAGATGCACAAGTACTTCGTGGACGCAGAGCTTAACAGTATGCTTGGATCTACGTATGACAGTTCAGACTATAGCGAGGTATACGAGTCAGTCACTATCGCAATGTGCAAACATTGAACAGAGCACTTTACTAAACTGCATTAAAGTTGTTAATCGTGTGGACACAACCGAATTTGCACTTAGAACTGTCACCTGAGAAGTGAGACCAATCGCGGAGCGTTCAATAGAATCGCAATTGTTTAGTTGACACTACCTTTGAAAAGATGTACCTCTTACGATATTATACAGGGTGTTAGGTAAATGGGTATACGAGCCGACACTAGCCCATGTTAACATGGTCATATAAATGGTATGGTGAAGTCAGAAAATTGATATCTTCATTTTAATTATTTTATTTTTCATACAAATCGGATTTTATAATATTTTTTTTGTATGAAAATTAAAAAAAAAAAAACTGACTTCACCATACCATTTATATGCCCATGTTAACATGGGCTAGTGTCGGCTCATATACCCATTTACCTAACACCCTGTATAGAAACAGGAACCTTTGATATCATTTGTAGGCTTACTTTGGTTTTCCAGAGCAAATAAAAAACATCAGTTAGTCTTTATTGTCAACTACTCAATTACTGATTGGTAGATTTTTCAGTTGACAATTCAAACATAGGTTGGGTCTCCATTCAGTGTAAAATCATAAAATTGAAATGCTTCCATGTAGTATTTGTGAAACTAAATCATACCTAATCCTAACAGCTTTCTTACAATTCTTTCATGACTTTTCTGTTTTAGAATACAACGGTGAGTACTATTTGTTGTATCATTATTGTATGAATTGTATCCCATATTTGTGTTAACTGTAACTTATACTGTACTAAAACTTACACAGTTGTTGATGGTAAAACTAGATGTTCTAGTAATAGTTATATTTCATTACTTTTAACCTCACTTCATCATGTTTTCTGTTAAATTAAGTCCCAAATCTTGACACTGACTATTGTAAAATTAGATACACAATGGTGATCAAGTTGGTCAATATTTTTAGGAGTGTTTTCTTTTCACGCTTCGTTAATTTAATAGTCATTAAGGTCATCTTGAGCAGACCTTGGTGACATAAGAGTGGTATTATGAGTTACTTAGGATTGCAAAATATAACAAAAAAGGTTAAAACTTAGTTTTTCTTGAAGCTTTTAAATAAGTTATCGATAAAATATGTAAAGGTCTCTGAATCTCTCACTTCCACCGTGAGAAACCATAACAGTGAGTCCTTTTTACATACAAATCATTTTTACTTCTTTAGTATATCTACTTAAGCTGAGCCAAGAGGTCTTCCCGCACATTTTACTGTTCAGCTTCGGCTCTAGTAAAATCAAATGAAAACTATTTCAAGTCTCACTTGAGCTCCGTGTGTGCGGGAATACGTTAGATTTTGTTACTTCATTAGTCATCATTTTAACAATAAAAATATTCAATTTGTAATGTATTTACTATTTACATCATAACTCTAGAGCCAAGGATGCGGCGGCGCGACCAGTAGCGCGTCGGCCGACTCGTTCTCTCGTTCGGTCTCGCGCTACGGATTGCGCTTCACGGCCGCGCTATTGTCCGTACTCGCCATCATCGAGCGAATGGCGCGCGACAACAACACCAACAAGCTGCTGAATATCTCTGCCAGGTGCGTATTGTGGTACACAGGTGTATACTAGGGCTATTGGCTGTAGCACGTCACGATCTACTCATTCTACCTAATGTCCTCAATTGTTACTCATCGAGCGCATGTTACTACGACCAGTAGGATGTCGACTCATTCTCGTACTCGGAGTCGCGCTACAGGCTGCCATTAATGTAAACGAGAGCCGAGTAATAGCGCGTTGGCCGACTCGTTCTTCAGTTCACCGAGCCATTCGGTGGGTGGCTATTATAGTCGGTTAATAACGCACTAGTTTTGCGAAATATATAAAAAGAACAAAATCCTTCGTCGCTCATGAAATTGGGCCAGCCATTCATTCATAGCTTTTTTTTATTCGCATCTTTCCAGGCTAAACTTCAACACGTACTACGTGAAGCAACTCGAAAAGTTCTGCTCCGACGACAAACTGCTCGAAAGCGAGAAGCGCGCGCCCGCTTCTTAGCGCCGCGCGCGCCGCCGCGTCACAGCCGTGTAGCGCGACGGTAACGTATCGTGGCATAGTCCAGACGCTTGTACACAAGGTAAACAAACTTGCACGACTCTGTAATGGTTTTGTGAAGTGCCGTAATTGGAATTGTTGAGTCGAAGCATTCAAAACATTGTTTGTCGCCATGTAACTTGTTCATGAGACGTAGTACACGTTTACCCTCTTCATTAGAAGCAACTGTGTAGTATGAAAATGTATACCACTTAGATATTGGAATAACTGATATAGTCGAAATCCTTTGTAACGTTTTTTTCATTCACGATTGTTCGTAGAGGCAACCATTTATTTACTAAACTCACGTTGAGACGATATTTTTATCAATAATCTCAAAAAAGTCTAATCCATTCCCATTGATGTAATTTTATTAATTGGCTTTAAATTAATTAACTGAAACAACTACCTACTTACTCATAATTTTACTAAAGTAGTTAAATAGGATTTACAGAATACGAAGATGATTTTCGTACAATGATTTTTAGTACAAAACTTTCAACAGCCACAACTATCTTCTATATGTGGTGATTTCTTGAATTAAATATGTAATTACTTTTTGTGCAGTAAAATTCAAGTCAAAACATATACTCATAGAATATCATAATATGCAGACAGCATAATTTAAATTTTAAAAATAAAATGTGAGAAAACACGTAGTTATAGTATAGCACATTTAGCATAGATTTGTGGTCGGTTAATGACGATGCATATCGTTTTACTCAAAAATGAAGTATTATCAATGTGTCGCTATAATTAGGGGAAATCGAAATTAGATTTTATAGTATAATACAAAATTTGATCAACCAGTTCTACTTTTAGAATTGCCAGTAAGTAGACTTGTACTATAAATAAATTCGTAACTCAAATATGCAAAAAGTGCGTTTCAACGTTCTTTGTAAGCGCTGATAAATAAATAACAGTAATAAGTACAAATTACCATTAGACCATTACTGCAAAGTAAACACATAAAATAGATATTAGAATTATTTTTTGTAAACTATTCAAGTATTCAATTACCATTGAATACTTTCCAATTAAATTAAAAAAACCTAGTATAAAACTGTCCAGTATTTTTGATAACAAGATGCACTTTATTCAATAATATTATTTGAAATAGTCCTAAACATAGTAACTACAAAATCTCATTCCTTGCCATAACCTTAGAAATAGTGTTTAAACGCCATGACATTGTAATTTAATTAAGTGTTGTTGAGTAAAAATTGTACTGCACCTGGGTTAGGATTCTTAATATGTAGAAATTGATGTTAGAATAATGTTGATGTTGGAATACTTAGCTAGCTTCTTGCAAACGAATCTCAGTTTAATGTGAATGTGCCTCGCGTTACGAGTTGTTTAAATTAATTTGTTGTATAAAATTACGAGTTCAATGCCTCTTTTAATCCTTTCACTACCGTTCCTAAATTAGATTCGTTGAGTTCAAATGTAACGATACAAATATTTTCTACAGAGTATTGTTGTTATTTTTCATGCTAAAAATATTGTTAACTTCCAGTAGTTTCAAACCAATGCAAACGATGAAAAAGATTCATTACTCCTACTTCGTACAAGCAATAAATTATGAGCTTCCAGATAATTATTTCCTTATCACAAGAATACTCTTCCACAGTTTCGTAAAATAATTATGATAATGATATAGGTATTAGACAAGAATCTCAAGCTAACCCAGGTTTATCCTAATNGGATGAGGAGTCCATAGATCATAATCTACCCTTGGAACATAACGAAGACTCTGGAACATAATGAAGATCTGATCTAATATAATATGTTCCTCTTCATAGACTATGGGAGGGTTATGTTTCAGGGTCTTCGTTATGTTCCAAGGGTAGATTATGATCTATGAACTCCTCATCCAGATCATGCAATAAATCCCGTACGTTTGGGTAATAATCGATGTTATCATCATCTAAATTTTCATCATGTTCTGAGACTGCACCATCATTTAAAGCAGCAAGAGCTGCCTCAATTTCCTATTCAGATAGCGAGCCAAACATGCTGAAAAGAAAAGCCAAATTAACAAACCATAGAACAATTTTATGGCATAAAAACGCATGGTGTAGACATTTGGCTACATACTGTTAATTTTCAAAAATATGCTTTTTTTTCGTACTAAGATTTTTTTTATTATTTTTCCCCCAATCTGTGGCCAAAAATCTAATTGAAATATTTTTTTCATAACTAAATAAAAATTCATGCATTTAAGGGTTATAGTATAATACAAAATTTGATCAACCAGTCCTACTTTTAGAATTGCCAGTAAGTAGACTTGTACTATAAATAAATTCGTAACTCAAATATGCAAAAAGTGCGTTTCAACGTTCCTTGTAAGCGCTGATAAATAAATAACAGTAATAAGTACAAATTACCATTAGACCATTACTGCAAAGTAAACACATGAAATAGATATTAGAATTATTTTTTATAAAATATTCAATTACCTTTGAATTATGAACCAATGAAATTAAAAAAACCTCCAAGTATAAAACTGTCCAGTATTTTTGATAACAAGATGCACTTTATTCAATAATATTATTTGAAATAGTCCTAAACATAGTAACTACAAAATCTCATTCCTTGCCATAACCTTAGAAATAGTGTTTAAACGCCATGACATTGTAATTTAATTAAGTGTTGTTGAGTAAAAATTGTACTGCACCTGGGTTAGGATTCTTAATAAGTAGAAATTGATGTTAGAATAATGTTGATGTTGGAATACTTAGCTAGCTTCTTGCAAACGTACGTAATCAAACGAATCTCAGTTTAAAGTGAATGTGGCTCGCGTTACGAGTTGTTTAATATGTTTAATTTGTTGTATAAAATTACGAGTTCAATGCCTCTTTTGATCCTTTCACTACCGTTCCTAAATTAGGTTCGTTGAGTTCAATCAAATGTAACGTTACTTAAAATATTGTCTACCTACAGAGTATTGTTGTTATTTTTCGTGCAAAAAATATTGTTAACTTCCAGTAGTTTCAAATCAATGCAAACTATGAAAAAGATTAATTACTCCTACTTCGTACAAGCAATAAATTATGAGCTTCCACTTATCACAAGAATACTCTTCCACAGTTTCGTAAAATAATTATGATAATAATATAGGTATTAGACAAGAATTTCAAGCTAACCCAGGTTTATCCTAAATATTTCACGTTCGTGCAAGCATTTTAGTCTAGATTTAAAATTTACAATTGTTATTGGTTGTGTATGTTTTGTGCTAGTACTAGATGTAGCATTGTTGATGCAGTGTGCCATTTTGTTCCACCTAAAAGGGTCTATTTTGAGTATTAATATGTTGAACCGATTCTTCCTACGTTTGTTTGTTGTTACAACATCCCCACCTCTATCGAATTTTAACTATTGAAAATATTGAATTGATCGTATTGTTGTTACTTTTTGTGTAGTTAAATGTGTCATTTATTATGTTTCTCCTGATTTGAATGTCTCAACTACGCGATGTCACAATTTTATTGCTATGACTTGCTTGTTTTTAATATTCCTAATGATGATATTCTTATATTGTTTAACAAATCTATCTTATCGTTAATGTGCAAACATGTCATTTGGTTGTAAATACCATAATTGTTATTTTTATCCCAATAAACTACTATCTTTATAACTTGGGTTTTGATTTTCCTGTCACTTTTGTATTTTAAGTTTGTAGTTAAATTGTCCTTAATTAAAATATCATGTCCCTCACTAGATTCGGCATATAGTTTTCAGAAAATTGGTCAGATTTGATTGCGTTTCATAAAAGAAAGACATTTATAAAATGAATCTATTTTAATAATTAACAGACTTTTAAATACAATCTTACCTCGTGTAACATTCAATTGGTTTCGTTTGATACATAAAGCAAATCACACCTCGCACTAACAATAAATACATTGTAACATTGCATTGGAATACTCGCTACTCTAAATTGATGTTAAATATAAATAAATCACTTTCAGCCTGGACAATGACACAATATGACTCGAAACAGTGTGTGAAAGATAACACAGCATGCAAACTCGCAACTAACTTATTAAAAAAGGAACTATATCATAGAACATACTGCACGATTAAATTTAACTACACCTAGTCGCTGTCAGACGCAAACATAACTAAAACAACCAACCCTGTGAATGCAAAAAGCTATCGTCCTAAATAAATCGATACACAATCGTATCAATGATGCCTATGCAGACGTTTTAAGATAAAATATCGTAAAATAGCGTAATGGGTAATCGAAAATACCAATACAGTGAGGTTACGAGTTACAAGTAATATCACTGGATTAACTACACGTTATATTGAGTACACTTCAAAGTTAGCCTAACACTAAATATTATTGAAAAATGGTAACTGAAGTCAAAACAGCATTATTTTGTGCAATAATAAAGTAGCTTCGACCATTAGTTTCAAAGTCTAACGATAAAGTTGAAGAAAAAATATTGGCACTGTATCTTACAGTCGAATATACAAACATTTCATTTCCAAGTAAGTACATACTATTCAATAACAGTCTACATAATGACATCACCAAAAACACGGAGACTTGACAAAAGCCCCGAATCAAGCATGCAATGCACCGTTTAAATGTCAACTACAACTAACATGCATTTGCTTCTACCTTCTGCTTCGACTCGAATTTTTGGTTTAATTTACACGATGAAATCATTTAACGGTCGGGAACAACGAACATACTTAATACTTATAAAAGAGAGCTGCAGAAAAGGAGCTAAAAGCAAATGTATGTGATGTGTAAAACTCTGTAAGTAAAAAAAGGACCTAATGCACATAATTTTAGAGGCGTATGTACAGAGCCTGCGGCTCAATTCACTAATTTATGGACTAGAGTCTCTGCGATCGGGCGACCATCACCACATGTGCGTCTCTCGGATCTCACTAATGATTTGCCCGGCGCGTTGCAGTGCCTGCAATCAAACAAAAATAAAGAAAGTTGACACATGATTGCGTAATATTGTTTATTTATTTATCACATATTATATGGTATTAATGTTAATTATATTTATTTATATTATATGTTTGTATGTATCTGTATATATGTATGTATATTTATGTATGTATGTAGGTATATGTATCTTAAATATTATATCAATTAAAAATTTAACTTCTACCCTTCTACCTCTACCTTCGCACACACAGCTTTCTGCATAACCCAGGGGTCGACTGGCTGAGAATGCTTAAAAAGCATTAAGTCCACCTTTTGTACTATTTTATTGTGCATTAAAGTTTTATAATAATTATAATAATAAAAGTTAGAAAAACAACAATAAAATGAAGTCCTGGTGCTGCATAAAAAAAATACTTTGTGGTTCTATACCAACAGCTATCTGCACCACTATGTATGTTCCAAAGGTCGAAAGGTCTTTTAGATTCCAGTTTTGAAAAAATAAGTTTATTCCAGGGCAGGGTTCGTGGTCTTGGATTTGTGGAGCTTGCATACCCGAACTTTCCATGCATTTATTATTTATCTACACTTCAGGGCATTTGCTGAAATAGCGAGTGAGCAAGACTAGACTTATTCCGACATAAATATGGCATGCTTGCTAAGACAGTTCTCGCTCAGCTCTAAGTTCCTTATAATATGACCGACGCATTCGACTCGCGCTACGTTTTTAGCTCCACCTAGGCGTTAAAGTAGCCTCCTCAGGCAATATATTAAAATAAGAGGAATGAAGAGTCCCATTTAGGCGCAATTTTCCTCAGGCCAGACAGGTAAAACGGTCACCGAAAATAAATGATCCATGTTCATACCTTGAGCATGTCCGCAGCCTCCTTCCTCCTCTGAGCGATGTGTTCGGACTCGTTGAGCATACTCTCTGCCTGGTCCGACTTGTACAGATGCGTCACCAGCTCAGACTGCAGGTTGTCTTTCACGTAGTTCACTAAGAAATGCATCACAGCCTTCGGAACGGAGTCCTGGATCGACTTGCGCACGATGTAGAAGTACGATTTAATCAACCGCTCTGAAAATTATAGATAAAGGTTTTTGTATTTTTGTATGGTGTGATTTTTGTTAATGACCCAAAAAATTTTGAGGGTTGGATCTAATTACAAAACGTATTACTAGAATTAGAGCCATGGCTGAAAAGAACTTCAACCATTTTAGAATGTTTTCTTCGTCCTTATTTTATCCTTCTTTGACAAGAAAAATATTTTTTTTTGGATCTTCAGTCTTCACACAAGGTTAGGGGTTAAAATATCCCACAAAATTACTTGAGTCATCATTTATATAAGTATGTAGCACATTTGTAACCCCAGAGTTGTGATATAGTAAACATGTCCCTTCTCTAACTTAATCTAAACACCATTGTGCATTTTTATTTATCTGTGCCAGTTTTATTTTGTTGTCACTACATGCATCCAATAATAATACATGTACTGGCAACAATAAAGACTCTTTAAAAGGTTTGCTGGAACTAATTTTGCAGTTTAAAAAGTTAATCATTTAATTACATTATTTTATTAATACACATAAGGATTATTTTTAGCTAACTTTACATGCAAATTCAGATCCAGTCGAGTCATTGCTCTTATTTCAAAACACATAAAAGTTAATCACAATGTGCATAACATTAATAATGACGCATGATTAATGATTTTGTTATTAAATGTCCGACTTAAAAAAATATAACGATTAGCACTAGACTATTAAATAAAATTATCCGAGAGCTTCTCCCGCAATAACAATAATTCATAAATGGTTAGTTACAAGTCAAGAACGATTGCAAGATTAATTTTGCAAACTGTAAAACTGAAAATCAGTCATATCTTTTTCGTTTTAGGTAATAGAATGCACGCACGAGTACGAATGTCAACAACTTAAGCTGGCAAAAATATTATTCTCAAACAATCAGCAAAATTACGGGGGTTTTATCAATCGCCATTAGAGAATATCGAACACACAAGTCTGTCGTCCTTTTTTAATTACTATGGAATGAACGAGATAGACTGATTTAAGTTTTACAGACAGTCTTCCAAATTAACCTCATGTAGGTACTTGAAGATAGAATCAAATTTGCTCGCATAGAAAACGTGTTTTTGCAAGAAAAGCACTGGCAAGAAGCGAACAGATCAATGGTAGGTGGTCGGAAAGGTGAGCAAATGAGTAAAGCGTTGCTGTATCGGCTCTATGTAGTCCTCACCCACTAAGTCACCCATTAGGTTCAATTGCATCATCGTGATGCCTTCAACAGTCTTTGAGTTTACGTTATACGTCGCGTAGTCGCTCCGTCCACCTAGCATCATACAAAAACAATTGGTCCGTGAAGCTATGGATATAAAATAGGTATAGGCCGAAATTTGTTTTAATTTACGCTGAACTTTGATTTTGATTTCATTCGCGATAATTCGGTACATGAACAACATTTTCAACTTCTACAGATGAATACTCGATAGAATTTTCATTAGACCTATCCCTAAAAGTTACGATATTATACATAATTTGCAGTAATATTTTTATTAATGTTCGATAATAATAAAAGAATATTTATAAGCTCTGATTTCCCGCCGTAGTTCATGAACATAATAATTATTAGTTAGTGATGATTTGAAATAACATTATTTATTAATAAATTATTACTTTCAATCGCAATCAATACGAAAACGAAATGTAAAAACGACACAGACAAAAAACGATAATATTATTATGTAGGTATGTGTTTTGTTGATAAATATAATTCGTGTGGTGTTTTCTTGTCAAATAATGTTGTATTCCAGATGGGATATACTAAACTGTCATAGTGAAATAGATTTCTCGTATTATCACAGAATAATAATATAAGTACTACCAGGCCTGTTCATCTCCGCGAGTTTACATCGAAAACAAAACACGCACGATGGCCCACCTACAGGAGGGCCATCGACAAGGCCTCACATACGAGCGAACATTGACTCACGCACGCGTATTCTTGTATTTTTTAATTATTCGCGAAGTAAAACTTCTGTACGTAGTACTTATTATTATTCTGTGGTACTACGTACAGAAGTTTTACTTCGCGAAGGTATTTAAAAAAATGTATGCTCAATGTCATTAACAATATGGTGTAATTTAGCCTGTCTCAAGAGTCAAGCACCATTTTGTTGACAAACGTCAGTGATCGGCACTGCGCCGAAGCTATAGGGCTGACTTCGGTAAAATGATGTGACGTGAGGTGCCAAACTGCGGAAAATGGCGGAGGAAATACATGATTTAGCATGAATTATCATGAATAATATTAACTACTTATTTACCTCTCAGTGTCTTGAGGCAACTTAAAAAAGTACATTCTGTGTTTTTATTATTATTTAGGCAGTTAAATACTGCTCAGTATTTAGTACACCATTTTCTTTATTTTCTTCCATCATACACAAGAATACGCGTGCGTGAGTCAATGTTCGCTCGTATGTGAGGCCTTGTCGAATAGTATCCTGTAGGTGGGCCATCGTGCGTGTTTTGTTTTCGATGTTAACTCGCGGAGATGAACAGGCCTGGTATTATCCCGTCCTCAAGGACGATAACTGACACACAGCTGCACAGGTTCAAACCTGACCCTGAGTAAAATTAATGTCATAGCTTGAGCTAGAAAATCTGTACAGCTATTTTAGATACAAAAATTTAAGAATAAAGAGCTGCAACATATATATCAGTGTGTTTGAGACTGACACCCGTATTCACAAACATTACTATGAGGTCTCAGAGGGCGCGTGGACGCACAGGGTGACATACGAACCAATCACAGAGCTCTATCCAACGCCGTGCGTTCGATTTGCTGCTTCACTTAAGGAAGCATCGTTTGTGAATACGGGCATGAGTTTATAATGTTGAATGTGTGTGTGCGCAGTGCGCGCGCGCAACTCACCGATGACGTCACAGTCGTGCTGCTCGCGGTCGGAGAGTTTGCGCGAGGTCTGCGAAGGCACCTCGGGCAGCAAGTTGACGGGCTTCTGCGGCGTCAACACTTTATTCTCGGGGGTGCCGTTCACCTACACACAATACACGCTACTAATGTGCACGAGTTACGGGTCAAGCGTGTAGCAAAGATACATATTTCTTACACCCGTTTTCTGGAATCACTGTCAAATATGACCTACAAAAGCCTATGATTGGTACAAATTGGAAGTTATGCTGGATGTAGCAAGCTAAAATGCTACAATGAACTCAAGCGTCAAGACATTTGAGTTTTATTCCACAAAACGGTTGTTAGAGTATTACAATTACTTTTATTATTCTTAGCAGGTTTTGTAGAGCTAATCTGGGGCTGCTATTATGTGTATAGTTATTTCCTTTTAACCTCTTAATAAATATAAATCATGACCTCATAAAGATATTTTACTTTAATGAAGTTGGTTAACAAAACAACTAAGATCATTGCAAATTCTAATACAAAACGCACCTGTGGAGTATTTGGGGATTCCATAATAGCTGGTTGAGTGGGAGATTTGTTTTCTTGGCCATCTGTAATCGCCGCGACATGCTGAAATACACGATATACTATGTTATCATTCAGTCACGAAACTCCAAACCAATATTTACTTGGCACATTTTACATGCGGTAAACATAAACACTAATAAATGGCATCTAATGATTGTTCAGCAACATTGTTGAAAGAGAGCCCACTTAGTATGTTTTAAGAAGCTGACATAGAATGGTTTATTAAATATTATGGTACCTGGGAATGTGACTAATGAGTCTGTAATTTACAGCGCTAGCTCACACAACGGTCACTAACTGACAGTTACCTGGTTGTACGCTTCCCAGACATTCCCCAAGAATACTAGGGTGGACCCTCTTTCACCCATTTGTCGCAGAAATAGCTATAATATAAACAGTCAGCAAAAGTTATTTATTCTGAGAGATTAAATACATAATAATATAAATACAATACACGTATACACAATAATAGTTTTTCATTTATATCAGTATTGGATGGAACATGAAATTAAATAAAACAGAATCTAGATGTTGTGATGATCGCGATCAGGAATGTTTTTTGCAGACATACTGTCTACCAAAACTGTGGAGAGACTTGAAGCTACACAAGTAATACAACCAAACAGTGTTAATTAAGATAGACCACCTAATTGTCTCTCGATTAGTTCTAGTAGACTGTGTGCCTATTTACTGTATTTACCCCTTGTTATTATGTGTTAGTTAGAAACTATACAGAAAATTGTTCTGTGTGAAAATTGGATGTGGATGATTCACTTACTTACTTCTACATGGTGTTACTTTTAGAAACAATTCAGAACGATTGGATGTGGATGATTGACTTACTACATGGTGCTACTTTTAAAATATAAACCTTGGTCATATTCAAGTATGATTTATAATGGCGAATTATTCGACCATACTGTGTATTGTGGTAGAAGAAGATGCAATTTTTCTTTGAACCAAAAGTAGTCGAACATCACCAATTATTGGAGCATATGAAATGAAATGAATTATTGATTTACTTTTTAACATGGTGTACAATTACATACCATTTGAGACTTGAGCTTTTAATTTTTTGTCTCCGATTAAAGTTTATATACCATCTTACCTCATTAGTGACAGGTTAGACCCCAAACCTCACATGCAACAGGTATACTATAAACAAATATATACTTTGAACATTGTGGATACCGGCGATGGGGTGGCGCGCGGTGTCTTCTGCCGGAACAACGGGCTGTTTTCGTCTATGAGACTGTCCGTGCTTTTGAGAAGGCCTGACACTAGCGCCGCCTCGCGGTGGAAGTCTGGGTGCTTCGTGTTTATGTACGCTAGTTCTATGGCCACCAGATTCTCCACCTGGGGAAGAAAAAGTGTAAATTATAGCCGTGTGGGTTAATATTGCTTTGATTAAGACGGTTCAAAAGTGACGCGGAAATAATAATCAACACAGTAGAGTGAAAGAGCGCCAGAATTCGTGACGCACGCAAACCTTTCTCCTTTCTGAGTCAGAATGCGCCGGCGCCTTATCAAGGGGCAGTTCGAGCGGTGGACGGGCGTTTAATAAACGGCCTAGCCGTTCAATCGAGTAGTTGATTTTACCATAATGGCGCAGTTACACTATGCGCGAACTTGATCGAATCAGATCGTGTCAGTTCATTTCATGCTTCTTCATACGTGCGCGTGTTTGCGCTTGTGTTCGATCAAGTTCATCCATTGTGTAACTGCGCCATAAGATGCTCTTGTGCAGTGCTGCCTCTCTCCTGCCGCCCTGCTAGCTGTCACTTGATTTTGCAACTCTGCGGGCTATGTCGTAGCTTGTACCAGGCTTATAAAAGGCTAGTTGTAGTACTGGACGTTACAGTCAAACGATTCTGAGACGTCAAAAGTGGCAAAAATCGGAACCCTCAGTATAGACAGTAGCGCTCTCCTGTCAATGTCATATCTGAGACACTTCAGCCATGTCCAACTATACCATGGAGTTGGTGGCGGGCAGGCGCGTGCTGCGTCATGTAAAGTGCCCCATAAGGGCTACCTTTTCTTTTTTTTATATTTAAATTTTGAGGTTCATAAGTGCCACTTGTGGTCTTAACTGAATAAATATTTTTGATTTTGATTTGATTTTGCAGCTGCTGACGACGTCCACGATGCGCCGGTGCCGCTGGCTGCTGTCTCGGCGGAGTTACCATGGAGTTGGTGGCGGGCAGGCGCGTGGCAGCATCTCCTGCTGCGCTCGGTGCCGCTGCCTGCTGCGCTCGGTGCCGCTTCCTGCTGCGCTCTGTGCCGCTGCCTGCTGCGCTCGGTGCCGCTGCCTGCTGCGCTCGGTGCCGTTGCCTGCTGTCTCGGCGGGAGTTACCATGGAGTTGGTGGCGGGCAGGCGCGTGGCAGCATCTCCTGCTGCGCTCGGTGCCGCTGCCTGCTGCGCTCGGTGCCGCTGCCTGCTGCGCTCGGTGCCGCTGCCTGCTGCGCTCGGTGCCGCTGCCTGCTGCGCTCGGTGCCGTTGCCTGCTGTCTCGGCGGGAGTTACCATGGAGTTGGTGGCGGGCAGGCGCGTGGCAGCATCTCCTGCTGCGCTCGGTGCCGCTGCCTGCTGTCTCGGCGGGAGTTACCATGGAGTTGGTGGCGGGCAGGCGCGTGGCAGCATCTCCTGCTGCGCTCGGTGCCGCTGCCTGCTGTCTCGGCGGGAGTTACCATGGAGTTGGTGGCGGGCAGGCGCGTGGCAGCATCTCCTGCTGCGCTCGGTGCCGCTGCCTGCTGTCTCGGCGGGAGTTACCATGGAGTTGGTGGCGGGCAGGCGCGTGCGCAGCAGCTGCGTGACGACGTCCACGATGCGCTGGTGCAGGCGCGGGAAGCGCAGCATCTCCTGCTGCACCTCGGTGCCGCAGTGCTGCACGATGCGCTGCATTTCTTCGTGAACCTGCGGGTGTACAGTGTCATGTTTAACTTTCCTGCGGGTGTACAATGTCACTCTTTTATTTTCCCGCGGGTGTACAATATCGTATTAACTCTCCTGCGGGTGTACAACATCGTCTTTAACATTTCGGTAGCAGCGCGTACTAATGTGCCCGCCTAGTTTTCAAATCTCGCGCAAATTCCAACGCTCCAAGAGACATAGGAATTAAACAACTAATAAGCGGCCCAACCACAGAATAATAATAAGTACTACGTACAGAAGTTTTACTCCGCGAAGGTATTTAAAAAAATGTATGCTCAATGTCATTAACAATATGGTGTAATTTAGCCTGTCTCAAGAGTCAAGCACCATTTTGTTGACAAACGTCAGTGATCGGCACTACGCCGAAGCTATAGGGCTGACTTCGGTAAAATGATGTGACGTGAGGTGCCAAACTGCGGAAAATGGCGGAGGAAATACATACATGATTTAGCATTAATTATCATGAATTTACCTCTCAGTGTCTTGAGGCAACTTAAAAAAGTACATTCTGTGTTTTTATTATTATAAATACTGCACAGTATTTAGTACACCATTTTCTTTATTTTCTTCCATCATACACAAGAATACGCGTGCGTGAGTCAATGTTCGCTCGTATGTGAGGCCTTGTCGAATAGTATCCTGTAGGTGGACCATCGTGCGTGTTTTGTTTTCGATGTAAACTCGCGGAGATGAACAGGCCTGGCCCAACACCGTTTTAAAATTTAGGTAGTAGGTATTACGGGTAGACGATGCACACAGAAAGTGCGTAAAAATCTGTCCATACTCGGTGAGATCATAGTACACAGAGTTGATAACTTTTTTAAGTTTAGCGTCATCAAATTTAAAAGTAAATGAATATAGTGCTACATTTAAAACTATACATGTAACCAAAAAATCAAGACCAAGACTTTCAGCAGTAACAAGCTTACCAATTCAACACATCTCAGCGAAGGGTCCTCCAACCGTCTGATCTGCCGCTTGACTAGAAGTTCGAACGAGACCTCGGGAACAAATAATGCTGGCCGCGGGCCCGTCGCGTTACGTATCGCAGTCAGAATATCCATGCGCGTCAGTCCTGAACAAATACAACTGGTTGTATTCCTAGACTAAAATGTTAAGTTCTATTCAGTTATAATGAGGGCTATCGTTTTAACGNGCCGCTGCCTGCTGCGCTCGGTGCCGTTGCCTGCTGTCTCGGCGGGAGTTACCATGGAGTTGGTGGCGGGCAGGCGCGTGCGCAGCAGCTGCGTGACGACGTCCACGATGCGCTGGTGCAGGCGCGGGAAGCGCAGCATCTCCTGCTGCACCTCGGTGCCGCAGTGCTGCACGATGCGCTGCATTTCTTCGTGAACCTGAAGGTGTACAGTGTCATGTTTAACTTCCTGCGGGTGTACAATGTCACTCTTTTATTTTCCCGCGGGTGTACAATATCGTATCAACTCTCCTGCGGGTGTACAACATCTTCTTTAACACTTTGGTTGGCGCTACTAATGTGCCCCCCTAGTATTCAAATCTCGCGCAAACTCCAACGCTCCAAGAGTCATTTGGCATTAAACCGCCTATTATGCGACCCAAGCACAACGTTAAATTTTGATATGGCAGTGCGGCGTACACAGAAAGCGCGTAAATATTTGCTCATACATCAGTGAGGCCATATGCATAACAGATTACTCTTTAAACTTGTCTTTTATTCACTCTATCATCATGATCACAGTTAGTAAATTAATACTTCTTCCTCGGCCCACATATAGTGATGAGGATCGCGACCACATATAGTGTTCCTCCACAGACTGCGGTCATAAATTAATACTGCTTAGCTAAAAAAGAAAAATAAAGACTTTCAGCAGTAACAGGCTTACCAGTTCAACACATCTCAGTGAAGGGTCCTCCAACCGTCTGATCTGCCGCTTGACTAGAAGTTCGAACGAGACCTCGGGAACAAATAATGCTGGCCGCGGGCCCGTCGCGTTACGTATTGCAGTCAGAATGTCCATGCGTGTCAGTCCTGAACAAATACAACTGGTTGTATTACTAGACTAAAATGTAAAGTTCTATTCAGTTATAATGAGGGCTATCGTTTTAACGCTCACCAGTTAGCGCCACTGTAGAGTAAGGTCCTGTCACTTGCTAGTAGCGAAGACAGTGGCACCAACTGGTGAGCGCTAAAGTGGTAGGAGGACTATCGCATTTGCACTCATCAAGATGGCGCCTCTGTAGAGTAAGGTCCTGTCAATCGCCAGGGGTGCCAACTGTTAAGAATGAAAACGATAGCCCTCATTTAATTGAAAATGAAAGGGACAAACTGACTAATACTGAAATAATTCAAAGACATAGTTTATCTCTGAACCGAGTCCCGTATTTACTTCTTTAATAAAAAAGAAAGTAGGTTTTTGGATTTATTTACATACATTGAGATGACGGCGGCTGCCTAACACGGCNAACACGGCAAGTGATTGTAGTGTACCAGCTATCAGATAACACGTAAGTAATATTATGCCAATATGTTTAGAGCAAACATCTTTGGTGACATATATGTGTTTTTTTTTATATTTACTTCAATGTATTAGATTACCCTTATGGGTGGACCGACGACATCATAAAGGTAGCAGGAAGGCGCTGGACGCAGGCCGCTACCAACCGGGCAACATGGAAAGCATTGGGGGAGGCCTATGTTCAGCAGTCGACGTCCTATGGCTGAGATGATGATGATGATGATGATGATTAGATTACTCACCAACTAACGGATGTATAGAGTCCAATGTCCTTCCAAAAGTCTCATGGAAAATATAGCAGATCCTGGCGCCTCCACACAGCTCAGTTGTTTCAATATTCCGCGCCGTGCCCTCGATAGTGGAACAGTAAGCGCTGGCGAACTTTGTGATGATTTGCAGAAGCGTCTGAGACTTGTCCGACACATCCTCGCCGTATGAGTTGAGCAAGGATTGGAATTGGGATATCATTACGTTCACGCGCACCTGTCAAATTCAGTTTTGGCTGAGTAAATAAATAAATAAATCTTTGGACAATTTCACACAGCGCCAGCTAGCCCCAAAGTAAGCAACTTAATGCTTGTGTTATGGGTGCTAGCTTGACGGATACACTACTTATATACTTTTTTTTTTAAATACACACATATTATACATAGTAACACCCAGACCCGTCACAGAAATTAAAATTCATCATTTCAATTTCTGCCCGGCCGGGAATCGAACCCGGGACCTCTCGGCATAGTAGTCCGTTCTGAACCACTACACCAAACGGCCGACTAATTTGAGTAAGGGCTCGCGTACACCGGTTGACTTTCGTCGCCGTGACTTTTATGTCACTTCATTAGAGACGTATAGAAAACGTGAAAAAGTTTCTGTCACTGTCACGTATCTCCATGGTCTTCAAAAAAGTCACGGCGACAAGTCGCCCATGCGCGAGAGGCCTAATACACATAATATTTGTCAGTCTTCTATATTATGACTTCTGAGCGAAGTCGCAAAAAATGTTGTTCAATTAATTACATTAGCATACAATTCCACAATCATGATGTATTTTCCAGCACCAAAATAGTCTAGAGACCCGTTCTACAGAAAAAGAGCATGCAAAGTACCTATTCAATTTCAAGACAAACCTTCAGTTCAGGCAGGCAGTCCCTTATGTGGTGCATAAGAAGCCTGTTAAGTGTTTTAGCCAAATACGGCGTTCCATTCCGCGTCGCTATAGTCGGGTATTTCCTTTGGAGGTAGGTTGCTTCGTCTTTTAACGCGTCCTGCAATACATTATTGGTTTTATATTTTGAACTAAAATGAATTTGTTTTATGATACTTATAAAATACTTGCTACTAATGTTAAAGAATCACTATCTACTACTGTTCTAGTAGTAAATAAGTTCGACTTACTAAACTATGTAAAAAGTTTCTCATTATATTTGATGTTTCTCTATTTGACAAGCGGTAAATCTGATAATAGAGACACGCAGCCGCATGCATTTGCGTAATCGGACTCTGATCACAAGATGTTAGCATCAATGGATTATCGATTCAGTAAACCATCTGATAAATGGACGTATGAGTAGAGATGAAACTCACCGAAATCGATTTCTTATCGATTATGTCTTGTTGAGATCGGTTGACGACGCCGATGATGCCGAGTTTCACCGGGATGACGCGTCCGCAGAGGATATCAATCGCGTCAGTGCCTGAAATAGGTTAATTAATATATTTATCCATGCATGACTGGACGCATGTTCCGTTTATACGAGCGCGTGTAAACAATGACGAAAATAATTAAATGCAGGCATATTTCAGTTCAAAAATAGTTGAAGAATAATAATTAAGCGCTTGTTTTTATAAATTTTTCTCACAAACTTTTACCACAACAATCAACATATTATCAATGTTCAACATAATAATATCAATGTTTTTTGCCCTCAACCACACTACAAGGACATTGTGGTGTTATTTATAAAGTCATCAAATAACCGTCACAACATGTTGGCCTATTGATCTTATGTATATTTATTTTAATTTCATACTCAAATTCACTTAATAAGATTCAGTCAAGACAAATAGAAGGTACAGTCAGCGTCAAATAGTTCGTGACACCCAAGGTGCCTAAAAAGTTGACAACACAACCTTATTCCAATTAGTAACAAAGGCGTGTTGCGTACTTTTTGGCTACTTTGGGCGCTATCTTTTTGACGCTGATTATACAAAAAAGAAATTTTAAAGAAAGACAAACTAACATTTTGAAGTCAAGTCTAGCAAGCTAGTTCTAGTTATAGAAAGTAAATAAGAATTCAAAAAAGTACCAGCATCCATGAGATCTAGTTTAGTAACCACAGCCAGAGTCCTCCTGCCGTCAGGGTCCACTTCTTTAGCCATCTTGATGGCTTCGCTCGTCGCCATGTCAGTGTTAGCGGCAGTCACAGCCAAAATAATTGAGTTGGGGTTGGAAATGTGTTTGATGATAAGGTTCCTAATTTGATTCTCGATATCTTCCGGCTGGTCACCTATTGGTACCTGTACAAATAACATTATTTTAATTTTAATATTCATCATTTTAAAATATTATTCTTTATTAATCTGAAGATACTATCTTATCAAAATATTCTAATGTGAAATATTACATCACGAATTCCAGATAATGACGAAAAAGCGTAGATATACGCACAACGTAATGATAAAGATTAGCATGGAATGCAATTATAAATGTCAAGTATTTACCTTGGTGATGCCAGGGAGATCGACTAGCGTGAGGTTGACTACCCTCGTAGAGTAGATCTTGAGGTTGATGGGTTCGGGACAAATGCCCTTGTTGTTGCCAGCCATGCGGTCCGTTTCTTTCTCCACTTCCTGTCTTATTTGATCGAAATCCGAGAAGATTCTGTCTTTTGTGTGAAGGAATTTTCCCCATTCTTCTAAGTTTACTGTACCTGAAGCAATCAGAAATTATCTATCAGTAATTTTTACATATTCCCCTAGAGTTAAAGCAAGCCAGTGTAAGTTTTATTTTGTAACAGATAACAAAATTCCTGAAGGCATAGTAAAATAGCGCCCTTTAATATTATTTTGTAATAAATAAGTTGGTGGTATGCTTGAACATGTAAAATTATTCTGGGCTATTAGTATATTAGAATTGATGCAGACAGAAGATATAATACAAGGAAAATGTGAACAAAACACATACATAAATGAATTTTATAGCATACCAACCTTTTGAAAATATTGAGTTGGAAAGCTGAGCTAAAGGGTTCCATGGTGTGGCCTCAGTACTCTGTGTTCTTAGCACTAGTTCAAAAATATGGCAAATACTTTGACAAAAGTTATTGAATGAAAAAAAAAACTCATTTTTCATAAACATTAATAAGATCGTGTTTATAAGCCCAAATGGAATTTATGCATGCCAGACTGTATATGGGAAACAGTATTGATAAAAAAGATGAATAAACATTAGTAACATAAGTCTTGGTTAGGAGGGTAAAATAATACAATGCCATTATAGACAAATAAATGCTTGTTTTATCAATCAATAGTCAATAAATGCTGATTGAATTGAATCTATGAGCAAACATCACAATAAGTGCAATGATTCATTATGGTGGCCTTGAAGAGAACAACTGCATGCAATGTAGAACTAACAAAAGGTTTCCTGTATTGATTGAAAACATTAATCAATGTACCTAACACAAACAATTTCATTGTTCTAATTGCATTAGTTATTTGATTTGAATTTAATTTTTTCCCATGCATGTGATTTTGTAGAAACATTTAATTACAATTAAAAAGAAAAATTCATTAAAATTAGTTAAGTTTTAAAAGCAACTTCATACATCTTGAAATCAATGTTTTATTATCTTTGTCACCCTTGGAATTAACATATTAACTTCATGTTTATTGTGCAAAATTCTCTGCATGCAAATAAAACTATCTTTTGATTTATTTATCAAAAGCTAAATGAGAACTTATTACTAATTAACTAACCATTTATTAAGGTGCAAGTTATTGTTAAATAATTAGAGCATCTAATACTACTGTATAAAAACCACGTTTATGTTTGAAATTGTCCAAAATAAATTGAAATGCAAAACACACTTACCTTCTTCAGCCGAGCGATGTTCCTTACTGTCTTTGGGACTGTAAACTAGTTGCAAGATAAGAGGGCGCCGGGTGACAATGCCTGGGCCCCGTGGCAGGAATGAGCGTCCCACTAAACTTTCAATCACAGAACTCTTGCCAGAGCTCTGTAAAAAATATTTTAGATAAAAGGAAGGTCTTCTAAGTGGTTAGTAGTTTAAGAATTTCAAGTAATAAAAGCCTTGTACAAATTGCGAATGTTGAAAAAAATTCTAGAAGAATAACATCTCAGACAGCTGTTGTTGCTTTCCAAAAGGAAATGTTATTTTGTTATTGTTTATCTAGCTACAATTTATGACTGCTGTGATTGTTCCGTGCCCACATTGGTTTTTATTTCAAGTCCATTTTATATCTTGACTTTCTGGGCTGTATTATGAATATTTTTTGCAAGTCATGTGTGTACAATTTTAGGAATATGTAAAAAAGAACAGTCTTAGAATTTATAAGACAATATCACATGTTTCTAGGCCTAGAATGGTCATGAACAGGGGCAGGGTCAATGACAGTATAGTGCAATTTATTGAATTGGGGACAAAGAACTTTAGTGACACTTTTACATAACCACCATTTAATCATGGTGAAAGTAATTTGTAATTGGGTTCACTAAAATTACTAATATAAATTAAGCCATTTATGGATTAAAATATTTACCTGAGTTCCTAAAACGACTATCTGAGGTAATTGAATGGCATCTGCTCCAACAGTATTGAAAACGTCTTGTAACTTATTGATAACCGGTATAAGCGCTTCCATAATTATTTATAAAATTGTAAGCACAAGTATTAGCAAGTTATTAAAATAATCCAGAGCCTCTTTATGTAACCAGAATTGATATTTCGATCAATTTATCAAAACAGTCAAACCAACCGGTAAAAGTCGGCCATATTGATTTGTCTGTTTTTTTTTTCAATCAAGGTTGCAATTTGGCAATGGCCAAGGAGATTGAAGCTTACGTGATGTCTTGTCTTCCGACTAGGTCACCTTATCAATTTGTATTTTATTTTATACTGTGATTTTACAGATTTGCTTCTAAGGCTGAGTTGCACCATCTTACTTTAACTTTAACAAACATCAAAAATGTGTCAAACTCCATACAAAATGCACCGGTTATTGTTATAGTTACGGTTAAAGTAAGTTGGTGCAACTGAGACTAAGGAGTCTAACTAAGGAAGGACGGGTCTCCAGCGCGTGTTCTTACACAATCAACAAGAACATCTCAACATTCAAAATTTTTTTCTAGGCATAAATATAATTATGTTGAATGTTGAGATGTTTTTGTTGATTGAGATTTGAGAGGGCAAAACGCACAAGACCCGATATAACTGTGATCGTTTGTGTCTCAAGTTTGCTGTTCACATTAAAACATTAATTCCAACTTCCAAGACATAACACCTATAAAAAACTTCTCGTCGGACTGATTTATCAGGCGTAATTTTACCACAGATAATATAATCAAGAAAAAAGATTATTGAGTTTCAATGACTGAGCATTTATTTAGAAAGAGAGAGTCTGCCCACAGAAAGCGAGATAGTGATACATAGGTTGTGCTTCAANAATCTAAATCACCCCCATGTATGTAATACGATTTTGCTTAGTTTAGGAGATAGATTAATTTTGTGATATTTTAAAATTTTATGATCTAAGTAACTAGTAGGCTTTAAAATTTTTTGTCTTTTTTTGGGTTGACTTTTCTCAGATTTCTTTTTTGACAGATTCGTTATTAATTGCAGATGTTTGAAAAAAAATAATCTCCTTCCTATCTTTGATGCAAGATACAAAAGTTTTGCTAGAAACATTAAAATTATGCTTTTAGCAGAACACTATCAAAGGACATTGTCAGAAACCGCCTTAGATTCCTGGGCAAACTGACTATTGGACTTTTGAGAATAAATAACTGTGTTTCTTACTATTTACTACAAATTTGAAATTTCTTTTTTGTTCACATAGAAAACCGGAAGTAAAGTTTTAAAATCGAATTTTACAAAACTTCGGTATTTTTAATTTTTTTTATTTTTATTTTAAAATATACCTAGTAGTCTATAAATAACGTGTGTAAAGTTGTAGAATGGAGTCTGTATTGGTTTTTGATTTAGACGCAGTACAGTGCGAGCGCGCCACAATGAGCGTCATACTGGCTATCGACATTTGGCTACTGTATAAAAATTATTTGTTCGAAAATAACTGAAACGTTAATATTGTTGCATGCATACTCTTAAACAATTATAATTTTGACTCGGCAAACTTCGTACCGTCTAACAGACAATGATTGTTGGCATTGAGATGGTGCGTATTGTATTAAAAAATGTTTGGAATGTTTAACTGCCTAGCTCGCATTAATACTTATGACTATAATTTGTATATTTTAAAGACTGTAAAACCTTGAAAAGGAGGCTGACAATAGTGACTGAGTTTCTTGCGCTGCTTCTTCTCAGCACTGGCCCATTTATTGTCCCGAAGCAGTGGTAGGGTTAATATTGGGACGTGTAAAAGCGCTTTTTTAAAGCCTATTTGCAAAAATAAATGAATTTTATGAATTTTTTAATTTTAATTTTTTATTTTATTACGTCGCGGACTACCCACATCTTATTGAATAATACACTAAAAACATAATTCTTCTTTTTTAGGTAGTTGGCTAGCTACCTCCATATCAAATTTCATCAAAATCTGCCGAACCGTTCTTGACTTATAAATCGTGTAACTAACACGACTTTGTTTTATGTATAAAACAAAGAACGGCTGAACAGATTTTAATGAAATTTGGCATGAAGTTAGCTGGCACTCCGGAGTAACATATCCCGACTACCCAAAAAGAAGGGTAATGTTTTAAGAGTATTATCCAATAAGTTGTGGGTGGTCTGCGACGTAATACCATCTCAATGCCAACAATCATTGTCTGTTAGACGGTACGAAGTTCGCCGAGTCAAAATTATAATTGTTTAAGAGTATGAATGCAACAATATTAACGTTTCAGTTGTTTTCGAACAAATAATTTTTATACAGTAGCCAAATGTCGATAGCCAGTATGACGCTCATTGCGGCGTGCTCGCACTGTACTGCGTCTAAATCAAAAACCAATACAGACTCCATTCTACAACTTTACACACGTTATTTATAGACTACTAGGTATATTTTGAAATAAAAATAAAAAAAATTAAAAATACCGAAGTTTTGTAAAATTCGATTTTAAAACTTTACTTCCGGTTTTCTATGTGAACAAAAAAGAAATTTCAAATTTGTAGTAAATAGTAAGAAACACAGTTATTTATTCTCAAAAGTCCAATAGTTAGTTTATTTTTAATCAAATGTAATAATAGCAGTAATAGCTTCTGAAAAATCTGTTCCTAAAATTTTACCAATTTTTTGAACGCTCATAAAAAATAAACTAAGCCTCATAAAAAAATTATAATGATGCACATCCATTCAGGTCATATAGCAGTACATTTAATCCAAATATGAACAAAATCCAAAACCTGACTTGATTTTCGTTGTCCGCTTCGCGTGAAATGNGCGAAATACCCACCCCTCATCGCAGAAGGCGAACTGGGGCTTAGTACTAAACAGCGGGGTGTCAGACTGAGCTAGCTTAGATGCCCCGTTGCAACACCTATAAAAAACTTCTCGTCGGACTGATTTATCAGGCGTAGTTTTACCACAGATAATATAATCAAGAAAAAAGATTTTACATTGAGTTTCAATGACTTTGAGCATTTATTTAGAAAGAGAGAGTCTGCCCACAGAAAGCGAGATAGTGATACATAGGTTGTGCTTCAAGTAGGTATTCGAAGTGTGGCCTCCATTTTTATCTATAGCTTCATGGTGCAGACGGACGGCTCCACCACGGATCTATAATCTGTGGTCGAGGTCATTGGCTTTGCTGTGTTTTTCTGTGCAATTGAATTGTTATTTTTTAAATTTTTGCGGAATCACTTTTGATTTCAATCAAGATTTTGGTTTAATTTGAAGCTTCTGACAAAATTGAAAACAAAATAATCAACTCTGATTTTTAGCTGTGATTTTTAGTTTCCTTGATTTTTGGCCGGTTTGGTTTCGTAAAAAATTGTTGAACTATTTTGAAATTCCATTTGATAAATCTACCCATTGTTACAAATCTCTTGTGTTAATAAATTGTTACTGAAATGCTTCAGTGTGAGGTAATTAAATCAGTAAATAGTTGAGGTTATTTTCTTTGTACTCAAAGCTAGCATTTTCCCGCGACTGTATTCGTAGCTATTGGTTTTTCGCAGAATCAGAATGATGACACTTCTTGTTTAGTTCTGGGATCAAAAGATACGTACGCTAAATCGAGGCGATGTAGTTTTATGATGTTTCAAATCAGTTCTGACGATTAACCTAAATAAACATTTATGTAAACAAAGTAAAATTAATGTTTCAATTTATCTTTACGTTTTAGGATGAGCGTTTGGATTCCGGCCGCTATGCTACAAACTCGCAGTCAATCCAGTTCGGACCCTGGCATATAGCATACGATGTGAGTTGCATCCTTCCAAGTGTGTGCTCTACCAAAGTTGTTTGTGAACGTGATGATGATCAATTTTGCTTATTTTGCAAGTAAGTTAAGTTCTAAAATTTTACAGTATGTTTAAGTTTGTGGTTACCTATTTTGTATGTATAAAAAAATATTTAATTTTCCACTTTAAATTATCTCTTATATTTTTCAGATACTGCAAAGAGCTACAAATTCCACATTTTCCTGATATGGTTTTTCCTAAAAATATTTTGTCGTTGACTCATAAGAATGGTGCTAAAATATATTTCAGTCCATTACATGCTTTAAAGCTTGTAGCGAATACTGTGAGAGCAATTGAAGTATCATGTTCTGAAGCATGGTTGGAAGCTCGGTAAGCATAATATTTTATTTATTAAAATCACCGCCTAAACTTGAATGATATATGTATGTAGTTGCAATACATTATCACATTTATTGTGACTGTTGTTATCATAAGAATTAAAATCCTTAGTCAGGAAAAAAGTCTTATTCGGCAGAAGTAATCAAAGGCAGTTTTGTGAATTGAAATTGTTCTCTGTCCTTGTTTATTTAAGACATAATTTAGTATTCTTTTATTTTCAGGCCTGATGCTGAAAAGAAAAAGAAGTCATTTGACTGGACCTTCTCGACCGATTATAAAGGAACACTGAGTGATGACATAGTTGTGGAACCTACAGATGAAACCATCAATTTTGATCTATTAAAACAGAAGGAGCAAATCCTCTTTTATCATGATCTTACTTTGTTTGAAGATGAATTGCATGATCATGGGATTTCAAAGCTTTCTGTGAAAATTGTAAGTATACTTTAAGAATAGATGACCTTGTTTCAATTTCTTAGACCCTGAATATCTGCTTCCACATTCCACCCTAGTCCCA